ATAAACATTATCATAAATTTAGGGGTTTTTCGTGGGGCACCCTGTAGATGGAGGCCAATTTTAGTCATGCTCTGAAGCGCATGCAAGCAGCGTGGTGCAGGAGGTTCTTCTGTGAGCATTCAGTTTGAAGGCAACAGTGTTTGACAACTTATGGTATTTGCTTTGATAGTGCAAATGGTTATCTCTTAATCGGCTATGCAGATCATGGTGTTGAATACGACTAAGAAGGCATCATAAAATAATCTCATTTTGTATAATTTTACTTTGCAGTGCGGTGAGAATAACATGCCCATTTGTCCTCGATCGATGCTTGCAGTACGTTGCATAGGTTCGATTTCAGCTCCACTGTCCTGCTTCTTTACCCTTTTTAATTACTGTTGATTCACCGTCAAAGACCACTTTTGCGTCTTTGAAATGTTTTGTGTCATGCTCAGTGGGCTGCTTACTCCCCTTTTTTTCTCTTTTACACCGAAGACCCCACCAACGAGAACACGCTAGCGTCAATTGAAAATAGCCTCTTTCTTCTCTGTCTGGACACCAGCTCCGGTATCAGCCAACTTTCCACGCCAGTGCCTGCGGATACTCACATTTCCTTCTACGACAGTGCGATCGCAAACAACAGCCTTCATGGTGTGAGCTCATCAGCCTACAACGCGGGCAATCGATGGTTTGACAAGTCTCAGTTCATCGTCTCCCGTGATGGCGTCGTGGGTCTAAATGTTGAGCATTCTCCCTTCGACGGCCACGTCGGAGTCGCTGTGCTGGAGGCTGCCCTAGCTGAAACGCCCACCGCGGAGGTAGTGATTCAACAAGAGGCTGGAGCAGCAACCAGCACGAATTGTCACTTCTGTGCCCCCCGGCTTCTCGATTGGAACATCTCTCCAAGCTTGTGTGAGAAGCTGGAGATGGCCCGCGACTTGTTTGATACGTAAGCGGCCCGCCTCCAAAAAGGCATTTATTAAGTTAAGCGATCCTCAAAGCTGACTGTTCCTCTGACTTTAAGTTTAATGTGTTTAATTACTATAACACGCCTACTGACCTAATTTAGGTAGATTGATATTTGGACTGTCAAAGTTCTGCAAACATTCCCATTCT